ACACACACACACACTCACTCTCTCTCTCACACTTTCACTCTCACTCTCTTTCACTCTCTCTCTCTCTCTCTCTCATGATGCTGAATTAAAATGTGCTATCTGCAGGGTTTTATCATGCTTTTAAATTTCCTATACCTCTGAAATATATAATATATAAAATTTAAATGCCCATTTCTTTAATTAAAAAGAGATGCATAAGTTTATGCAAATTTCTTAACTGATTCACAAAATGGTGCTCTTAACCTTATATGTTAGTGTAGTAAAAATAATCAGCATTAATCTATCTGTATGACAGGGTAATAAAATAAAGAGTATTTTCCAAGTTATTACTTCATAAAAACATTGACTAAAAGGATATAAAGATTCCCAAATATGGCATATTTCTATACATTTTTTACAATCCCAATATTGGAACAAAGCAGTAGATTATTTCTACATTTTTTTCTTTCTTTTGCCTTACAACGTTTACAAATAGTAGCACGATTCATTGTTCAGACTACAAAACTCCAAACTTTCCATGCATTAGGACTGCCATGAAAATAAAGGCACACAGTCAAGAGATAGGTGGCATCATACATATCAGCTGATACATGTTCGTTGTAAATGTCTGTATACTGTCCAAGTCTTCAAGCAAAATATACACAAATGAAACCATCTGCACTTTATTTTACATGAACTTTGTTTATGAATGAAGAATATGTGTGACAGGAGGATGTAGATATAGGTATGGGTTTGGGGAGGAGAATGCATATCAGCAAATGAGAAAGAGAGAGAGAGAAGGGGGGGAGGGAGAGAGAGAGAGAAGGGGGGAGGGAGAGAGAGAGAGAGAAGGGGGAGGGAGAGAAGTGAGGGAGGGGGAGGGGGAGAGGGAGAGAAGTGAGGGGAGGGAGAGAGAAAGAGAGAAGGGGAAAGGGAGAGAGAGAAGAGAGAATGGGGGAGAAAAAAGAGAGGGGAGAATAGGGGAGAGGGATAGAGAGAGAGAAAGGGAAGAGGGATAGAGAGAGAGAGGGGAAGAGGGGTAGAGAGAGAGAAGGGGGAAGAGGGATAGAGAGAGAGAAGGGGGAGAGGGATAGAGAGAGAGAAGGGGGGAGAGGGTGAGAAAGAGAGAAAAAAAGGGGGTAGGGGCATGTGAAGGAGGGGAGCAGGAAGGTGTAAGTGGAAGGGTAAAGGGAGAGAGGGGATAGAAGACAGAGAAATATGTATGTAAACATGAACATAAACATAAAATAAGTTGAACTTATAAATACAAAAGGCATTTTATATACACTCACATATATGTCATATGTTTACATATTCAAACATCATAAATTATTCTGGTTACAGATGAGATACAATATCAGATTCTGTAATTACAAGCTATCGATCCCGATCTTACAAAGAATTCAAGAAAAATCTGTCCATACATATTCATAATCTTATTTTTAAAAAATCCATATGTCCTAGTAAATTTTATACTTATCTTTCAAACTAATAACTCAACACTGAATACAAGAAAATCAAGAAAACAAAAATTTCCTTGTATTACATTTATAAAATCAGCTTTTTCAAGAATATAAACACGTGTGTGTGCTTGTTTTACATGAATGTAATGCTTATATCTTCATCCCTATTATTCAGTTTATTGTGAAGTACATGAAAAAATGAAAACATAATAATCATAAGAGTAAAGATGAAGAGGATAATCTTACCGACAAAGGGTCAATACTAAAAATTTCAGGCATAAAAATATAACACAATAGATGACAATTGACAATACAACTTCAAAGTCAATAAATACAATTTTGTACTTTATTCTTTTCATATTAGGATAATCAAGTTTTTGAACCACAAAATATCTTACTCTGGATATTACAGATATTTGTTAAATTCTTCAAAAAGTTTTACCCAAAATCTGTAACCTGATTACTTTACTTTCTAGTGAATGGTTAAGTGTTCAATTCTTAAAAATTTTGAAGCAAAAACTTCTTACCAATATAATAGTATTTTCAATGTGTGATTTGATTACTAATAAAATGGTAAAGTAAATGAGCAAAAGAGAAAAAAAAAGAGAGGTCATATGCTATACTAAGTATCTCCATGCAACAAACCAACACAAAATAGGGAAGCTAACAAACTAAGAAACCCAAATTTTAACTTGTCTGTTTATTCAGTTAACAAATTTCACAGCGGAACATGCTTTACTATAGTCTTTGGTTGAGAAATCATATATTTCTTAGAGCAAATTAGCATATTGTTCTCATATACAGTATCAGCCTCCTTAGTCAAGCACTTACAGAATGACAGTGCTCCTGCAACACACACACAAAAAAAACACCTGTGAAGGCAAATAATAAGATAAACAATGAAAGAAAAGAGAATTTTTTTAAACACAAAACCTTAAAAGGAACTGTTTTGCACACAACATTGACACCTAGAAACTTTCCCACAGCACTGTATAGCCCGCCACCATACAAGGTGCTTTCTTTCCCATTGAATAAAACTTCATTCTACTCTAAATTAA